TTTTTTTAACATTTCTTGAAAATATTTACAACACTAGCTACACCTTTCTGAATGGAGTTTGTTGTTTTAAAATACTTCTTTAAAATTCAAAATATTGAATGGTGAAATGACAATATATAATACAGAGTAAGGCTTTAAAACTTACCATTATCATCTTCATGACCCATATTTGACGGTTCCATTTCCTCATTAACATCAGAAGGAATGAGTGACTGCACAATTAAATAGCACAAGTTTATATTGCTGTCTACTCTATCATTGTCAATGATCTATCAACCATTTTAAAATAATAAATTGTAACTTCCATGCCACATCAAATTTTAAAAAGAAGACTCTTTGATAAAAATGATATTGTCCAAAGGGACGAATATGGCTGCAGTGGGTCCTCATAAATTCCATTGCCACAAAATTGTGATGTGAAACAAATTTAATGTATCAACATTGAATGCGTGCAGCACAAACCCAAAAAGTGGCTGGGGACCAAAAAAATCATGCCACATCATTTTACTGTAAAATTTAAAATAAAAATGTAATCTTTCCTCATATTCATAGTTCATACTCATATACAGCAATATTTGCTATAGGCCTACATTAAATTATACTTAAAAGATGAATATAAGTAACTTATTCATTTAAATGTTCAATAAGATTCAATTTAAATTTCTGTTATCAGAATTATTGTTAGCTACTCTTGATACTTTCTGTGGACCCGGTACAAAAATTTGTTTGGCTGTACACTGTAAGCTCAATGTTTGCAAAATGAAGTTGATTAGCTTTTTAGTGGTATTTTATCTATGCTGTCTAATTCTCATAAATATCTGATACTGATTGATTTGGAATCCAACTGCTAGCCGGTCTTCGGTCTTCGACAAAAGCTTATTGACAATCCATCAAATCCCAAACTGCTTAACCGCTTACAATTACAAGACCGTTCCTGAAATGACAACTCGGCAGCACTTCTCACTAACCGTATAATTATAATAATATAATGAGTATTTGTGAATTAGGGCACTCACTTGTCATTGTAGGGAACATCCGTAGTATGGGCATGGGTGTATAAAATTAACGTTGTTTCGTGGCCTCCTTTTTTCAGTTTTTTCCCACAGTCATAGTTTGTTTTGCTCGTTTTATATTACAGAAAAAGAAATCTATACACACCGGGGAGCCATGTTCTATTACAAATAAAAATAGGAATTTCCGATTAAATTATCAAAATGGAAAAAATCCGATAAATGAATAGGAATCTCCGATCTAAGAGAACTGGCGGGAACACAGAAGCATTTTTTCAAACAATATAGTACCGGTAACAAAATTAATAAAAAATTTAAACATTCAGAGTATAAATTAGGTAATCGCTAATTATACGTAATATTGTTTTGTGTATCTGACTATATGAACCTAACGCTGGATCGGAAATCCAACTGATGTCAAGAAACTTAGAGACAAGCGTTGTTTGTTTTTTTTGTTTTTGTTTTTTTCTAATTATTTGTATTTTGGACAGGGTCGAAGAATCAAAAGATGATATGTTCCCCTTTCAGAAACAACACAAGTCTACGTGGACAGCACCCTCGGATCAATATAAAGCTGTAGAACTCTACATCAGTACTACGAATCATGATATCAACAATCTCTCTCACCCAAACCTCGCAACACTAACCCCTCAACACAAGAAACTCAGGCCCTCCCTTTATTGCGTTAACGTAACGATACTGTTATTAAACCTGTGGATTAAGGTGGTGCTGTCGTGGTGTGTTACGACAATTTATACTATATATTATAGAAGCCCATGAATTATAAGAGGATTTTAAAAAAATATGTGTTGTTGTTCGTCTGTCGAAATCGACTTGGAGCATGGATCCATCCGGTTAGGGGGGAATGTGGGTTACGGTGAGCTCGTAGGTGGCTTGCTAGTTCGATCCTTGCTAGGAAAAATCTCTGGCAACGCGGGCAGGGGATAGTTGCTGAAGTCGGTGATATACTATTGCTCTTTCGGGCAAGCCTGCGTGTCTCAGCTGTGGTTATCCTTTTGGCTTCATGATATTTAGCCCCCCTCTTAAAAGCTGTTTTCTACCTGGCTCTGTCCTGGGCTGTCTGCACCCATTGAGTAGGGTTGATGCTGAAGGCCTTTAGTGCAGCTTTCAGTTAGTCTTTACATGTCACAATTTAAAAAAAAAAATTTTTATATTTATATATCGATCGTTATGTCATAATGACATTTTTATTTTTTATAATTAGTGTGAAATATCTACAAATGCAAAAAAAATGGAAATTATTTATTATATTTAATTTCTGTTTAAATTTTGTATAAATATTGTATTGATCACATTTTAGACCTGTCAAAAGCTTACCTCCTTGGCTACGCACTTTTGTTTTGTTCTCCTCATCATGGTTATCATTGGGAGGATCACAAATGGTCAGTATCTGCTCTGTTTAAAAATGCAAGTTTACATTTCTGACTACCCTGTCCATCCCTTGGATTTAACTCATTATCACTAGGATATGAAAATATTTTCTATAAAATATTTTGCATATACTCCTTATTACTAGCAAATGTTGCGAAAAACAGATTTTTTAGAAATTATAATTTATAAATGATTATATATAGCATAGCCTACCTAAAATATGGCTATTAATCGCAACTTAAATTTATCTTTAAAGACATCAATTTGTTTATTATTTACTTGTAACGGAAGTATTTCGCTTTTTTGACGTCCTTGGTAGCGCTTGCCTATCATGAGTTCTCCGAAGAACATCTGTTTTGGGAGCCGGAGGTCTTCAATATGGGCTACTTTTCCCATGCAACGGAGTCTTGCCACCTGATGCCGAGGAGGTTCCCGACACAGGTTGTGTGAAAATGGTTCAGTTTCTTGACACAAGTGGACTGTCCGCGTTTCACATACGTAGAAACGTGTCGAGAGGACTGCTGTGCTATTGACCTTGATCTTAGTTTCTCGTTAAAAACCTCTCCTGTCCCAAACAGTGTTTCGGAGCCTGCCTAATGTGGCACTAGCTTTTGCTAGTCTGGCATTTATTTCTTCCTCCATGACGACAGATCTGGAGAGGGTGCTGCCCAAGTTAGTAAATTTATCCACCGCGTTAAAACGCTGTCCGCTGATGATGATGTTTGGTTCAACGAAGGACTTCATGGGAGCTGGCTGATACATCACCTAAGACGGTTCTACACTCATCACATCACAGACAAGGAGAAAATCTTGGAAAGATGGGCGGAAAATTTTGATGGTGTGCTCAATACGCCTTCCATCATTAATGCTGAGGCCATTAAAAGACTGCCCCAGGTCCCAACAAACAAGTCACTGGATGCTGTCCCAACTTTGGTCAGCAATACAATCAGCACAACGCCAAATGTCCAATGGCAAAATACCTGGTCCCGACATGATTCCTGCAGAAATCAACAAAAGAGGGTGGACCATCGTTTACGGAATTGCGTCTATTCCAGATCATCCAACAGACGGAAACGTCCCGATCCCTTCTGAACCGCCTAAATGCACATTTGAAGCTTGGTCTCATACCCGAAAGTCAATGCAGTTTCCGAAAAGAACGTGGAACTATCGATTTGGTGTTTGATGGCAGGCAGCTCCAAGGAAAATGTCAGGAGCTAAATGCGGAACGATATTCCACATTTATCGACATGATTAACGCTTTTGACAGGGTCAATAGAGGTGGCCTGTGAGAATCATGAAGAAGTACGGATGCCCAGACAAGTACACCAACATCATCCGTCAGCCGCATGATGGCATGATTGCCCGAGTGCAGGACAACGGTCAGTCATCTCAAGTATTCCGTGTCACAAACGGTGTGAAGCACGGCTTTGTCCTGGGTCCCAAACTCTTCAGTATTATGTATTCTGCAATGCTGTCTGATGCGTTCAAGGACTCGGGCTTGCCAATCCGTTTTCGCACCGATGCATCAGTTTTCAACCTTAGGAGGCTTCAAGCTAAAACCAAGGACAAACATAACATCAACGAGCTTCTGTTTATCGACGAATTTGCCCTCAATGCTGACTCTGAAGCAATAACTTGGCCTCACAATCAACACACAGAAGACAGAAGTGATGTATCAGCCAGCTCCTAGAAGATAAATGTACTTACTTGGGTAGCACCCTCTCCAGCTCTGTCACCAACTATGATGAAATGAATGCCAGACTCGCAAAAGCTAGTGCCATATTTGGCACGCTCTACAGCCTTTGTTGAGACAGGAGAGGAAGCAGACGAAAAACCAAGACCAAGGTCTATAGCGCAGCAGTACTCCGACATTGCTCTACGGTTGTGAAACGTGGACAGTCTACCAACGTCATGCAACGAAACTGAATCATTTTCACACAACTTGCCTCGGGAAACTCCTCGTAATCAGATGAAAAAACAAAGTTCCTGATTATCTTCCTTGTGAAGTACCTTAGCAACTTAATATTTTCAACAGGTAAACTTCTCCACCCTGATGCAGTCTCAACTCAGTTGGATGGGACACGTAGCCCATATGGAAGACCACCGGCTTACAGAAAAGATATTCTTTGAAGAGCTCACGGTAAGCAAGCGCTCCCAAGGATGTCAAAAAAAAAAAAAGTGACAAAGACTCACTGAAAGTAAGTGGCACTAAAAGCCTTCAGCATCAACCCTGCTAAATGGGTGCAGACAGCCCAAGACAGAGCTAGGTGGAGATCATCTGTCAAGAAGGGGCTAAATCTTATGAAGCTAGTAGGATAATCACAGCTGAGAAACTTTTCTCACCATCATTCTCTCTCTCTCTTCTACTCTCTCTCTCTCTCTCTATCTCTTTCTCTCTCTCACAATATCCAAATCGCTCCATAAACGTGTCACATTCCTCATTTGCTTCCCTCAATGTACCTCTTTACCTTTGTCTTCGAATTTGTCTGTCTTTCCCACACTCTATTAACTAATTCTTTGATAACCTTATCAAAAGAAAACATTCTAATTATATCACACAAAAAACAAAAAAACAAAAAAATTATTTTTAAAAATTACGTTTTATTTTTTTTTTTTTTTTTAAATTAGAGAGTTGTATGAATATTTAAAAAATCTGCATTTCAATACCGGGTATCAAATCTCACTAAAACAAGAAAAGTTGCCATCAGTTATTATATTTTTATAGAAATTATAAAATTATCTCGAATCCATATAAGTAGGAACTCTTCATCACAGTATTCAGAGATTGTGTTTGTAGTTCGTCATGTTCTATCAGAGATTGTGTTTGTAGTTCCACATGTTCTATCAGAGATTGTGTTTGTAGTTCGACATGTTCTATCAGAGATCATTTTTAAAAGCATATCCACTACAGTTACCTTCTGCAGTTCCCTGACTGTGTAGATGGTCCGTTGTCCAGTCATCTCTACCTAACAAAAACACTGTTGCCCCACTGGTTCCAGGACATGTACAGGCATTGTAGATGTATTTTGAACAGGTGTGTGAGTTGACAAGTCTTTGACAGTATTTTCCTTCAGTATAGTCGTCATCATCATAATCATTAGGATCATAATCATCATATTCATCGTCATCATCATAATCATTGTAGTCACCATCATGATCAATTTCATCATTACAATCATTGTCACTATCGCAATCATTGTCATCATCACTATCATTGTCATCATAACAATCATTGTTATCTTCCCAATCATTTTTATCTTCCCAATCGTTGTTATCTTCCCAATCATTGTTTTCATCTGAATCATTGTTATCTTCCCAATCATTGTTATCTTCCCAAACATTGTTATCATCTGAATCATTGTTATCTTCCCAATCATTGTTTTCATCTGAATCATTGTTATCTTCCCAATCATTGTTATCTTCCCAAACATTGTTATCATCTGAATCATTGTTATCTTCCGAATCATTGTTATCTTCCCAATCATTGTTCGCTTCCCATTCATTATTATCTTCCCAATCATTGTTATCATCTGAATCATTGTTATCTTCCGAATCATTGTTATCTTCCCAATCATTGTTCGCTTCCCATTCATTATTATCTTCCCAATCATTGTTATCATCTGAATCATTGTTATCATTTTGGTCAAAATCTGCGAGGCCATAGTGATTAATAGTAAGGTAAGTATTATTGATAGCATCATAATCATCACTGTCATCATCATCATCATTGTTATCAAAAAGGGTACCGTCATCATCATAACTATAAGAATCATCATAGTTGGTATCATTAGAGTCACCAGAGTCCTCCTGGTCAGTGTCAACATACACAGTAATCCATTTCTGTTTTTGGATGTCCGTTCTTTTTGTCCACTGACCAACAGAAACTTGCTTAGGACATCCGTGAGGGTGTGAAACTATAATGGCGAGTTTTTCTTCTTTTGTCGTACTTTCATATTTCTTAAAGACTTTTTGGCTCAGCCTTTTGTACTTATCAATGGAAGCAGCCAATTTATCAGCGAAGTAAATGTCATGGATCGCAGAGAAAAAATGGCAAACGTCACCTTCAATATCAGCCTCTGCTTTAGTGCCATGGAATGAGACTTCTTGGGAAGTGTCACTATCATAGCCCCATCGAACAAGCGTGTGTCGTGCTTCTTCATCATCAAACACAACGTGTGTTGCCGTTGCGACCCTGATTTGGGCCCATTCTTGAACAGCTGATGAATTTTTACAATTTAAACATGGACATGGTTGACCGTCGGTCACTGTGTATTTTTTCACTTGAACGACACGCCCCGTGCCATACGAAAGGAACCCCTTTTGTCCACGATTTTTAAAACGTGGATAAGGTGTCTCATTAAAAGTTTCCGGTCTGTTGCTACTGACATTGGTAACAGTTAGTTTAACCGTCAGGTCGCCTAGCGTCTTGACCAGTTCAAACATTGACTTCTTATGGTAGCGAGGTGGAAGATGCTGGGGCCCAAATAATGTGATCGGAGTGAACTGCTCATGTTTGGGATTCTTGCGACAGTTGTCGTAATGTTCCTGTAGGTTAGCTTCTGGTCCGTACACAACGTCTTCTTCATAGGGCCCTGCGAAACACATAAATAACTTAGTAATATAACATGTTATTATTTGTAATTGGCGTCACATGAGGTGGTCATAAAATTGTGTGAAGATGTTGTCCATAAAGGATGCCGAATGAAATAGGCATTTTTCCCCAATTCACCCCAACCCCCACCCCCCCCCCCCCCGTAGTTGACATTGGTCCGTTTGTAATTTATCATCCCCCACCCCAAGCCCCTGGTGTGATGACGTCCACAGGCGCATTCGGACATTTACAGTGCAAAATTCCTCAAAGTAAAAGATTTTAATAATATCATATTTTTTTAATAATAAATTTATTATTATCCTTAAATCTGTTATCCTGAAATCTGACCCTCTGTCATATTTCGAATAGAGTCAAATGTCCCCTGAAAATCTATGAAATACATTATATTTGTTTTTGAAGTCTTAAAAGAAATCACCAGTGTCTTGTGTTAAGTGGCATACTGCTGCTTTGTGTCATGTTACATGTGACGTGATCATTGTGTTGGACTGAACCAAACGGCTGCGCTTGTGAAACAAAGTGACACCAATATTACAACGCTGACGGCAGAGCTTCTCAAGTTGTTTGTTTTTTTTTGTTTTTTTGTTACCCGTCGCACACCCTGATCACCTCAAATGTTGAATGGCCCCAATCCCCCCCCCCCCCCCCCCCACAAGTTTTGACATTACACCACACCCACCCCCCCCCCACCCCCGCCTTTTTCAAATTAAAACAATGCACTCCTAATATACCACAGCTTTGGCACAGATAGTGCTTCCCCCCCCCCTCCCCCGAATCACCCCGGGATGATCAAATAATGTAGCCGCTGACTGCAGTTTTCCGTAAATGCCACTCATCCCTTTAAGTGATGTCTATGGCAGACCGCTATTATCTTTACACCGTTCCATTTATTGTTTTATAATCCATGGGTTGGGGGGGGGGTCTTTACGCTACAATTAAGGAGACACTGGACTTCGTAGACTTGACTTCATTTTGTCTTTTTTCACGTAAAATTATGAATGCTTATTTTTGGTGCTGTGGGTAGAGCTCATTGCACTTGGGTTTTCCAGAAAGGAAGGATACATCAAGGAAGAGGGCGGTCTAATATAGGATTTTTTTTGCTTTCGAAATATGTGGTTGGCCGCCTAATATAAATTATTCGATTGACGTCAACAAGATTTTTTTATATTGAGATTGTGCTCCCTAATGAACATTTTACTAAAATATTGGTGGTTATTTTATTTAAAATTAATTAATTTTTTTTTTTGAAATTTCTCAAATAGATCAGTCATAGATCCTAACAAATATGTCAGTCATCGATGAACACACATAATGAGCCTAACATATAGATCAGTTATATATCTAACAAACATATATGTTATAGATCCTAACAAATAGGTCAGTCATAGATCCTAACAAATAGATCAGTCATGGAGAAATATACTTTCCTTTATGGACAATCCTAATTGATTAACTTTAGAAGTTTTTATAAACGCATTTTTCAAAAATGACAAAAATTTTAGTTCCAGAAACTTCTATTTGCTCTAGAATCTAGAGAGCTCGAGATTAGAGGGAGTTTCACAACGTGTGCTATCTATTTTTATAGCTCTTATTATATATATACATATGTCATTTAATGTGGATATCGGAGATTCATTTCTTGGTCAAGGGATATGAAATAATGTATCTCACCCCATCAGTCCGGACAGAAAAAAGTGAACGCTTCTCTAGTCACGTGTTACAATGAATACCCCTATATGAGTTAATGATTTTGTTTATTTTCTGGTGATAACTCATTAACATTGAACGCAATTAAATAAATTGATTTATTAGTGTTGTACCCAACGATTTTTCAGTGCATTAAATTGTTTTATTCATTTATTTAACCCCCAAAAATGTTGTTATTTTTAAAGACGTTTGTCTTTTCCACTTTAGAAGATCACTCGGTATAATTTTGTTTTAAAACATGTATAAATAATATAAATAAATATCTGTGTAATACGGTTGTCACTGAAAAGATTGCCAGATTTCGTAGCGCATCGTTCTCGTTGCTTCTGAGACGAGATTTTTAAGTTTTGCCAAACCAAGTAGTTGCGCCCACCATTTGCCGTTATTGTTATATAAGGATTTAAATTTCAAAGAGAATATACAACATTTAGCGTAACCTGAAAGAAACTCACAAACGTTGTCTTCAACTGCTGCAAGGTTGTTTCCCTTTTGTGCTGACTTCATATCTTCAGGCAACATTATAGCAGATGTAGGGTTTGCTTCTGATTGTTTCGTTTGCTTCCTTGATTTTTTAGCTCTCTTTTTGACTATTTTAGGTCTCTTCGCTGTTTGAGTTTTTCTGTCCGATAAAACTTTTCTAATCTTTCCTAATGGGCTAGTACCCGCTTCGGATTCTTCAGGTGTTTTCCTTGACGCTTTGGATCTCTTTAAATGTCTGGCTCCTTCCTCCGGCGCGTTACCTACCTCCAGCGATTTTATCAGCCTTTCCTTGACATCTTTGATTTTCTCCTTTGATTTTTTGGTTTGCTGAACATTTTTAATTCCCCTTCTTGAAATCGTCGGCCTCTCCTCTTCTTCTCTCGTTCTCTTGTAAGACGATTTTGTTTGTTCATCCTCACCTAAAGTTGTTTTATTTCCTCCTTCTGTTAGTTCAACGATGTTTCCCATTGACTCTGTTGTTGCTTGATCTGTCTTCACCGGGTCTTGATGTGATGCACTTTGGATTAATTTAGTCCCTTCTTCCCATTTGAGGCTTACTTGTATTTTCTCAGAGTTACCAATCCCTTTCTCAGCTTCTTTTGTTTTTTTCTTTCCTACTGCAGTTGTTTCCCTCTCTTCTTCCGTCGTTTCCCTTCTTTCCTTAGTTGTTTCCATTTCTTTATTTCTTTCCCTTTCTTCCTCTGTTAAATCTCCTCCTGTTTGAAGTATGCCACCACTTGCAATGACATCTGGTATTTCACCGATGAGTTTACCTGTGAAGAGTAAAGACAGCTCACTAACTAACTTTTTTTTGTTGCAAATCTCTCATGATATATTTTGTACTAGTGGCTTCAGGTGGAATTTAAACATACATCTAGCAACGTTAGGTTGGTTATGCATTTGAAAGCTTAGCAGGAGCGAAAGATAAATAGCGTACCTATTAAAACAAATAATCTCAATTACTTCAATTAATCATGATTATATGTTTTTCATTTTTTACTTGAAACATAAAAAAGTTGCTTGAGTATATTAGCAATTATTAGTAATATTATACTCAATAACACTAGCATGTTAAAATAATTTGAAACGATTTTTTGAGTAGCTATTTATCCCACTTTTAACATTTTATAACCCATATCAGTAATTTGGCTCGTTTCATGAAGTGTTAAAAGCTACTCCATCGTTTCGCGATTTTTTAACTGACCCCACTTGCCCCCCCCCCCCCCCCCCCCCCCCCCCCNCACCCTTTTTTTTTTTTTAAATGTGAAATAATGTGGCATAAATTATATTTATAATGCATGGTCACAAATTCCTTGACCCTCCCTAGTCCCCCCACCCACCCCCCACCCCCAAAAATAGGTGTTTATGGATTATTGAAAAGTCGTAATTTTTATAATTACACTAAGCAAAAATTAATAAAGTATAAAGGTTTATGCTATGAAAAATAATGTAAACTTTAAAATGAGCGAGTTATAAGTAATAAACAATGTTATAAAGTCATTAATTCAAAGAGACCAATAAATACTTAGCTGTTATTCGTTAATGAAGTGTTGTTTTGTTTCCACTTACAATCAGCTAAGAAACTCCTGCCATTGACTTCCTGAAGACGAGTCACATTGGGAAAACCCGTTGAGGATTCTGCTAAAGCTCAATAGGGAAATTCCATAAATCTTTTCTTTCTTTATGTCATTGATTTCTATGGATATATATTTTTTTTAATCCTTATAAACTGTATACAACTACGCTCATTTCAGTGAATTAATTAGACACTAACAATGTGTGTAATAAAACACTATTCTTTCAGCTAACTGGGCATCCGCAGGAATTTTCACATGGGTTGGGTGGGGGTCAACAAACATTGGACATTCTTTATCATAATATACACATATAGAGCTAAACAGCGTAGGCCTATGTGTTAGTAGTAGCCTAATTTTTAAAGTAGAGTTTTTTACAAACATTAAACAGTCATTTTGAAAAAGAAAGGTATTTCTTAACACAATGTAGTAAGCTAATAAGGTAAATTAGCAAATTAAAAACTCACACATTTCTGTATATTCTTAACTTGAATATTTGAAAAGGAATTGAAGACGGCGTTTATCCTTTTCAAATATTTCATTTACTTTCTGTATAAACTCTGCCTTATTATTTCTTTTCACACTTAAACGATTTACACTAAACAAACACAGCCCAGAAATACGTTGTTAAGTCATTGTTGAAAGAAGTTAATGTTTGACTTGTCTGAGGGTACTAAATGAATGCATGTTGTTGTTGGTAAAGTAAGTGCCATCAGAATAGCTTGGTAGGTTGATGGGAGAAAAGTCTATGCTTTGAAACAAATCGATAATCTGAAAGTCATTTTTTTTTTATCTTGTGATTGTTGCTGCATCCTTCGGAAATAAAAACGCGCTCATTGCTTCAAGCACAAAGTTGTCCATTGAGTACAAACTTGACATGATGTCAACGCTCTTATTAAACTGGACACGATTAAGACATGTCACGATAGCAGGATGAAGTCTGAATATCTGGAACTAGAAAAGTTTTGTCCGCGATGATATTATAGAATACAAGCACAGAACAAATAGTGTTTGTCTAAAGCAGTCTTCTTCGGAGTCTGGATATTCACTCTTGGCCTTAGAGTTTCTAGGATTGCTCTTCGTACCAATGTTAACTAAACCTACAAGAGCCAAGGGCACAGATACGAGGGCTCTTCATCCCAATGTTAACTAAACCTGCAAGCGCCAAGACTTTTTCATTCAATATTTTTCTTTAGCATGAGTTTCACCTCTGTGATGATGTTGATGGACCATGTCAGTTACTTTACAAATATGTTTATGTCCACTTACCATCCCAGCTGTATGGCTTGTAATGACTGAGTCACTGGTGCCAGTATCTCTGAGTATGTAGGGATGATCTCAAGACATGCAAGAAATGTAGACGAAGAACATGAACACAGAAGATGGTGAGCAGGGTGCCGCGGTTATGCCAGTGTCATTTTGTTGCTAAATTGTGCAGTTGATTGCATACCACCTCGATATCCTCACTAAAATGGAAAGATTTTATATTTTGCGAAACATCGTGTTTCACAGACCAATGGAACGTTAGATATTAAACATCTTCGCTTTATGTAATATCGAAAAAACTTAATGATAGTTTTATTTTCTGGGTGGCCGAGTGGTCTAAACTAAGCAAAATCTCAAGTTGGTTTTCTGGAGTTAAATTCCAGCCAAAGCCCAGTCAAGCACAAACATCACCAGAACCCCGGTTGGATGAGACTCGTTAACCTTGGGTGGCAACTCATCTAAGAGAATGAAAATCTAAATTCAACCCCGAGATAGAGTCCCGTAGGCGGATAACATTAGTTCAATGAAACATCCCGACCACTCCTGTGACGCTACTGGTGTCACGCTATATCATCCACATGATGTTCACTTGAGTTATCCAGCGGCGTGGAGAGAAGCGATTTGTTGATGGAAACCAGTTTATAATCCTAGAAGAATAATCACTGGCCTTGTGGATTTAGTCCTGCGAAGTCTTCACCATCGTCACATTGTGACGGGCGGATAGCAGCAAAAAAAAAGTGTCAAATGGAGAGGATTGCTTTCTGGTTGAAACAATATGATATATAGCTAGGATGGTATGATATATAGAATGGATGTTATGAGTAAAACTGAAGTCAGACAAAACGGACCAACGGAAAGTCTGGACAGCAGAAAAACAGAACAAAGAACAGAGAATATTTTGTTTTTTAATATTTTAATAAAAACTTATTTTTAAAGATTTTCTTTTTAAATACGAGTTTAAACGCACTAAAAAGTAGAACAATAATTTAACACTTCTAAAATAGAAATTCTGGGAAAAATGGTAATAAACCCCTTTATGAAGTCAAATACTTGGAATCAAAAGTAGAAGAAATTTAAATATGCTTTGTAATGAATTTTTAACGCATTTTCTACATGGACATTATTTGGTAAGTTTTGATTTGGGAAACGTCTCATGAAATCCTGAAAGTCATCCGAATTCGATTAAAGGGAAACGGAAAAAAGTTTTCAAAAACCAATCATACCAAAGCACGAATCAAATGTTTCAAGGTTTTCTCTACCCCCGTGAGCTGGATTTCTTATGGAAATGTTTTGTTATAGTTTATGTTGTATCTTGTGTAAGAATAGTTGCATAAACTATTTGTTATTTCTTTATTTCTCTAGTATAGTATCGTTTCTTTTGTATTTAAATAAAATTTTGTGAATTATGTACGTACTGTTTTGCAATCGACACATAGCTAAATATTAGTACTGTTCAACATTTAGTATAGTAATATAACATACACCTTGTACACTATTGCGTTGAAGCTATCTTGATTACGGTAAAGCGTACTTTAGGAAAATGTATTGTTATGTCCTGCTGATCAATTAAGAATTTTCAAAACTTACTCACCGATTTCAAATAAGAGTTTTAGTTTATTTTTATTAATACATAATCTCTATAATCATGATTACTGCAATTAGTTTTTACCCCCTCTCTCTTTTTCTCCTTTCTTCTTAACCTTTCTTTCCACCTCATATTATATATCTTTACTTCTCTGCATCGACTCTCACTTCTCTTTCACTCCCTAAAAGTCTTCACCTCTTTTATTTTGACTCCATTCCTCTACCTCTCTCGCTTTATCTTCCCCTTTTTCTCCGTTCCTCCCTCTCTGTTAATTGCGTTTGCGTTTATTATCTACAGAATACATTTAATATCTATCATGCATATTACTATATAATATAGCATTGTAATATTCATTTAAGAATGAAGAAAGAAAACACGAATAGATGTAAAAAATTTATTTCTTAAACGTAAATTTAATCTCACTAAAATGAAGTATTTCAATTACTAAAGACATTTTTTTGTATTTTTATTTTCCTTCAATCCATATTATTAATAAATCTTGGTATATTCCATCAGAGATTGTTTTTGTAGTTCGCTATTTTCTATCAGAGATTTTGATGGCGCTTTAAAAGTGTTCTCTCAGAGATATTGTTTTTTTTTTTGTTTTTTTTTAAATCATAGCCGCTATATCTAACGTCTTCTGTCCCCAGAATGTGTCGATTATCATTATGTCCAGTCATCTCTATCTAACAAAAACACCCTTGCCTCACTGTATCTGGGGCATGTACAAAATGTGTACATGTATTTTGAATAGATGTACGAGCTGACAATCTTTTCGACGTAAGAACTGGCCATCGTAGAAATCTTCATAAAAATCATAATTATTATAGTCATCAACATTATCGTAATCATACTCATTTCTATCATCAAATTCCCAATTACTATTTTCATTATCATCATAACTTTTTGCAAAGCTTCTTGTCGAAACCCCGAAGATGTGAGTTTTTTTTTACTTATTTAAAAATAAAAAGGATGCAAAATAGAATGGCTTGCCAATGTGTGCTTCACTCAGGGGCTATGTGGGCACTCCAGGAATTTTTTAAGCACTTTTAACTGTTAAGACATACGTTAGGCGAAACGAAGCATCCTCATAGAATTTGATTCCACAAATGGTTTCGCGAGTCAAAGGGTTGGGAACCACTGTTTAAACCACTCATTGTACCATCTACCGTTCAAGCCACTCGCTGTACCATCTACTTGAGGCAAAATCTGCTAAAATTATACTGAGCTGAAGCAAAAGTTTACACAATGGAATCCATTTCATGATCCGTGCCGTGAAAGGTAATCAAAAACTTGGTGGGATGGGGTCTTGGTACGATCATCCAAATTCGTCCAAAGCAAATAAATAGAATAACAACATGGACATAGTGAAATAGGTTTCGAATATAAGACTTCAAACGAGTCATTGAGCATATTTTTGAAGTGATGATGCTAGATATTTGAAAAAACTATTAACTGATTATTCATAGTTTAAAAATGTGTAGTATGCTTTGATAGAAGGAAACAGCTTACTTATAAACTAAATTAAAGTGAAAAGTTTCATTTGTATTTTCATATTATTCTTGACACTTAATTTTTAAATGACCATCCT